GGCAGACCAGGGCTGGGGCCATGATCTTTAGTCTCTTCCCAAAGCCACAGTCTCAGTGACCTCCTCTCTGGCAACTGTCATGTTGTCCCAGGAGGGGAAGCTGAGAGGATGATGGGGCTTGTAAACCTAGCTGCATTTTACTCTTTTTAAGAACAATGGCTGACCTTCATCGACAAACAAGGCACAACATAAACAAGTGGAATCAACTAGTTTCCACTAGTGGATGATGGGATGGCCTACTTGGAGAGAAGCCATTACCAAAAATCTGCCCCCTGCTCCCACTTTAGTTAGACTGAGTTTTGGCTATCTGTCTGACCCTGTTTACTCACTCCACTCCTGCCTTTGCGGTTACCCAGGCCCACTTTACCAGGAAGGCATGTTGTGATTTTAATCTGCACAGCTGAAGCCCAGCTGCCCCCTCCACCCCCAGCCATGAGATCCCACAGTTGTTACCTTTAGACTATAATTCTTCCCTCATTTCCAGCTGCTAAATCACATTAAAGAGGCTAAAAATATACTAAACACCCCTGATGTGACAGCGTTGCTTTACATGGAAAGTAATTGCTACAGGGATCATGAGTTGGAGGAGAGACATCAGGCTAGATGCTGGCAGTCTGAGAGAACCCCTGCCCAGAAAGCAAAACTGGAAAAACGTGGGGGAAATAATATAGTCCTGACAGAAGGAATGCTTCAGCTTTACTGAAGTCTGTGGGTGGTGAGGTGGATTAAAATTAAAGGGGAAGGAAGCACTGCTATCACCTGACTTGCATATCAACTTTTGCAGTTCGCTGAATGAGAACACACCAGCAAATCTCATCCGCACTTCCAAGAACCAAGATAGCTGGATCAGTACGGTTGCAAGAAACCCAACCATGAAATTACAAAATATTTATTTATTTATTGAATTTATACCCTGCCCATTTAGTCAACTGACTACTCTGGGCAGTTAACAACATATAAAATAAACCATTTAAAATATAGAACTAATACCTACAAAAGTAAAAAAAAAAAGTTTCCCAAAGGGACACTCTTCCTAGGGCCAAAGCTTGCTAAAATTAGCTTTTTTGACTATAGTTCTCAGACTTACCAGCCAAGGTAGCCACTGGGGAATTCTACAACCTGTAGTCCAAAAAATTAACTTTTTCTTATATATATAATATATCATATAGATCATAATAGTATGTATGTATGTATGTATGTAT